TGCGAGTACAACCTTTGGCTACCCCTGGAAGTCATTGGTCTTAGTGACCTGATGTTCATACCCTTACCCTCGATCCTGAAGCAATCGCTCTCGATAGCACCGTCGCTTCCGGGATCCCAGACAGCGGAATCCAAGGCAAACTGTCCGGCAGATTGCTGAACGTGGCAGAGGGTGCACAGACGGTGTTGATGGGCAGGCGTTGGTCCCCTGTGGATGAGTATAGACCTAAGACTCCTGGGTGAGGTAACTTTTTCCGCTGGACCAAGTGCTATCCGATCAATGCAGTGTCTAGTACCTGAACCTGCTGAGGCTGGAGCCCCAAACCTCGCGCCCCACCCAGATCCCTTGATTCCATCCCCGACCCAGGTACCACAAACTTTTGTTCGGCAGGACGGGTAAAGGGGGATGGCCACATTCCAAGAAGTTTCTTGGCATCTGAGTCAGAAAGAGTCCACTATGCCCTACAGATATGTGTGATATCAATTTATCCTTGGTTCCGTATAGAATCACCAAGCACGGTTTTACTTTCCGTGCACAGTTTTGATTGGTTAGCCTAGCTAGACTTAAGCGATGCTTACCTGCACATACCGCTTCACGATGTACCTAACGAGTCATCAACTCCTTCAATTCGCCCATCTGGGTCAAGCATTTGAATTCAGGGTGTTCCCCTTTGGGTTGTGCACGGCTCCATACTTGTACATCAGGTGGTGATGCTGCTGCTGCATCAGCTGTCGGTACACATCAATCCGTACCTGAGCGACTGGTTGCTACACAACCAAAACAAAGGTTTGTTGGCCAAGCAGGATTTACCTGACACGTCAGTTGGTGTTGGTGTTGGCACAGAGGTAGGCTTGGTGTGTCCATTGCAGGCTTGTTGCCTAGCAATAAGTAGTCTAGCCAAACGTCTCGTCAGTGTTCCCTCTGTGTCTCTCGAGAACTGATGTGCATCATTGGGATGATGACGTCAGTTTGCAGGGTAGTTCCCCAAGCCGCACTGCGTAGTCATCTGAGTCTCACCTCCTGAAACTGGAGAGGCAGGTAACACTCTCGAACCAAGCGAGGGATGCCTTGCCCTTGGACCCACTCACCACGGATATGACTCTGATATCGGATGCCTTCCTCACAGTTTGGGGAGCGCACCTAATGACGAACAAGTCCAAGGAATATGGCCCCTGCATTGGATTCAGGGTCGCCATATCAATTGGTTCAAACTGAAAGCAGTACACTAATCACTGATACACTTTCTACCCGTAGTTTGGGACCAAACGAACTTCTTGCCCTGCATGGACAGCATCAACAGGGAAGGGGGACCAAATCCCCATCGCTGTCAGCTCTGGCGGAGCAAATTCTCCATTGGGGCCTGGAATGCAATGTGGAGCTACAAGTAACTGCTCAGGGGTGTAAATCAGTCAAGCAGACGCCCTCTCGCGGTGACTCCATTTCCAGAACACAGATTGGCAGCTACCCCAATGGGTAGCCTCTTGACTGTTTCGGCTGTGGGGCGGCCCCAAGATAGAACTATTCGCCACACCTTGGAATGCCAAGCTACAGACGTACGTGACACTCCTGCCGACTCCAGGAGCATGGGCCATAGATGCATTATCGATCCTGTGGACCCACATGGACGTATACGCCTTTCCTTCCTTAGCGCTGATTCACCGGGTACTGGAGAAACTTCAACAAGAGCACACCTGCATCGTGACGCTGGTGCCGCCCAACTAGCCAACCAAGGCCTGATTCCCACTACTGTTGGAAATGTTAGTTGAGACACAGGTAGTACTTTCAGACATCCCAGATCTGTTGTCCCGACCGGACGACACATCACCAACGAGCCCAGCAGTGTATTACTTACATGCATAGAGGCTCTCAGTAGACTCGCACAGACGGAAGGTTTATTTGAGTGGGCTGCCAATGTCCTGGCTAGGGCGAATACTAGTAGGGGTTCCACCAATGCAGCCTATGATTCTAAGTGGTGGGCATTCATGTACGTTGATTGATGTAGTGGAAGGGGGGTTAATCCATGCCACCCCACTGTTGGCCAGGTATCTGATTTGCCTAATTAAAACGGGACATTTTATACATCAAATGCCAAAATTATTAGTGTTTATATTCATGGTCCTACCAAGATGTGTTTGGCAGTCTCAGTTTGGCCTCCATCATTGTAACTGGCACATATTCCCAGAGCACCCCTCCATGATGCTACTGGCATGGGTTGGACTTAGCATACTAATTTGGGCTGCCATTTTGCCCTAAATATACCTTTGGTTCTCCTTTATGATCAGTTATGATTCAGTGAGTGACTGATATTATGAGAATTAAATGTAAAAAATGGGTTTATTTAGCCATTGTTCAATCACACGACAATAGGGCTTGATTACAAGTACATCTATAGGCTGTCATCAGTATGCTGTAATACGGTAGTTTTGAAAGGATTTAGTAGTACAATGAAATGTGCATGAAAACCTGTTCTTAAATGATGCCCTGCACAAATCTATTTACAGTTGTTTTACTTTTTCAGATTGGTGGTGTAACTGGTAGAGTCATAAAAGAAAACATTGACAATAATGAGACTATTAAAGAAGATCCGCCGTGTATTGGTAAATACATCAGTTCTGCAGCAGCACTCCTAGTTTCTATGCTAAATGCACAAGAGATTCTCCACAAAGAACGGTACGAATCATTTATGTGGATTGAATTAATTTGAGTAGACGATCTGATTTTCACAATTCAAATTAAAGG